AGCCAGCACTTGAATTGGTCAGAATACTAAAATAACATTTTAATGTAAATCTGTTTGGCCATGCAAAGAGATTTATTCTTCCCAGCTGGGCCATATTTCAGGCACAATCTATATTGTCCTTTAATATGTTCTTCCTCAGACAGTTATTGCCCTTTAATTGCAACAGAATGACAAAGTGAAAACATAAAAAGCCTTGTGATTTTTTTCAAACACAGCTAATGCTAAAGTTTCAGAATGACTGTTTTGATTTTAAAAGCCACAGTACTATTAAAGCAGTTATCCAAAATATAGTGCTACTAGCCAGTATAAACCTTTAAATCAGTCAGGGATCAAATATATATAAATATACGTTTTTTAATTTAAGCCAGAAGCCAATTATGTAAGTGGGTCATTTGAAAAAAAGTTGACAAAAAAACATTTAAGGAAACCTGCATATTCAATTTTGCCAACGTCAAAGCCAATGAGCATCATTAGCTCAGCAAGCCAGCTAATGAGGTCCAGGCAGAGCAAGCCTTATAGAGGAATCTTTCAGAGAGCCATTCTGTAGCCCCTTCCCAAGTCCCAAGTCACTCTACTACAAATTTGGAACAGGTGAAGCCTTCATTGCAGGTGACTTGTTTTTTAATGTTGATGATGTCAGCCCATAAACTTCACTTATGCAAAAGAAGAGATGGCGTGAAATATGTGCTTGCTTGGCCAAACTACCTGAGGAGCCGGACGGTGGCTTGGGGGCAGGCGGCACTGCTCCCTTCCCGGCGGCACAGCTCCCCACAGGCTTCCTTCCTTCCCCAGAGCTCCCCCAGCACAAACCCAGCGTATCACCAGCTGCTCCAGGCCCTCTGACTAAAGGCCAAGTTTACTGGGAAGGGCTCAGGATGACTCCTGTACACCAAGAGTAAACATCTTTGGTATATGAAATGCACTTGAACTCTGCTAATGCGTCTCTCTCACAAACAAGAAGAATCTGCATGTGAGAGGGGTACTGAAGCAGTGGCACCATGACCCAAGTACTTGCAGATCAAGTACTGAGTATCTCCTCAGTAGCGAGAATATACTCATTGCTTTTTCTGGGCAATTCATAACAGCAGAAAATTATTCCCCAACCATGCCAAGACATAAAAAGACTTTTAATGCAAACATCAGAGTTGCAAATTTTCACACCCTTCTGCTGAAATTTGCCCTTTACGTACATATTTATGTTGTTGGGCATGATGTATCTTCTTCCTTCATGCATGTGATTAAGGACTTCCTTAGAGACTTATGATGTGTTAGCTAAATGGTCACATATTTTAGGATAATCAAACATTAATACTTCTGAGATCTCAACTACATTTGACCTTCTCCAGTTCTGCTGAAAAGAAATCAGGTAACTGTAGGAAAATGAATCTATTCATTTCCCAGGAACGAAAAATTGATGATAGCAAAGAAGAGAAAAGCAAGGACACTCTGTTACATCATTTATTCACTTTCACAATCCCATTTAGTATCGTCTTTCCAATTACTGCTGTTCATAGAATTAACTCTTTGGATACTGATAGTCATATTGAGGAATATCTTGCCAAGAAATGAGTTACCGTTTTTTTAAAGTACCACTAAATGTGAAAACAGATTTGAGAAACTTACCCACACACTTACTTTTTAAAAAACTGGGAATTGTGAAATGAGAAGATTTTATATGCCTAGGCTTAGGGAAGCACTCAATAGAAAAGATCTCCTTCTGCTATACTTTTCATGAATACATCTGGATGATATAAAAATTATGGCTTGAAGAACTCCTGTGCAATCATATGTCTCTAAAGGCTGCTTCATCCTGTGTTGCAATTCCCCATCCCAAAATTACTAACCCTCTAATATGAATAGAGATTTTACTGTTTAATACAGCTCCACAAACCACATACGATTACCTTAGAAAAACAAACTCTGTTTTCAAATAATGGCAAGATGATAAAGGTGCATGGCGATGCACAAAACATTTAAGGGGCTGACAAGAGCCTGCCAGCATAAACAGCGTGAGATCAGGCTGTAGGCGCAGCCACAGCAGGCGCTGCAAAGATGCTGAGCTCAGTGAGCTCTTGTGTTAGGTTTGTTTGATGCCACTTAGTTGAGGGAATGCAAGATCCTAAAATACTTTAAAATCAAAAGCTGGCACATAAAATGCATCACTGCCTTCATTTCACAGCTTTTCCACCCCTCAAAAAAAACCCAACAAAACAAGCAAGGCAAAACAGAGGAAAAGACGGATGGACGGATGGACGGACGGACGGAAGGAAGGAAGGAAGGAAGAGAAAGAATTACAGGTCTGTGAATAGGAATGCATGCAAACAATTCAAAGCCTGATTTGCATGCATGACTAAGACGCATTTTATTACTTATAAAAATGACAGCAACTGTCCCGACTACCAGAACTTGCACTGACAAGGCTGTGTCATGAGCTTTTGAATGCAAACTAATAAAACCCTATCTAGCTCCAGTACTCTCTAAAATGGTGTCCTAGCTGAGCACTCGCCTACTTTTTCTATGCCTCTTAGTGCTTCTGAGACCAGCATCACTGAGTTTATTGTTTTCTCCTTGAATGACAGGAAGGTGAAGGTTTTAGCTTCAGGACGGCTGGGTTTTAAAGGGTGGGGTGCTTTTTTGTCCAGCCTATTAAAATGTATGGGTACCCTTGCTGAAGCTCAGTCAGTATGCTAGAGTGATAAGTTAGCCATTTGTTTATGCCACAATGAGTAGGAAAAATAATACCCTGAGGCACTCCAGTATTACTGCTAGGGCAGTGTGATTTTTGAGGCATTAGACTGAAGGCTGAGTAACTTCTTTCAACCAAGTTATGCTGTAATCTTCCAGGAAATGCAATGTCTATTATGTCTTATTGCTATAATGAAATAATTATACCAAACTAATGAAAATGAGACGTACTTAATAATTCTCTGGGTAAATCCATGACATAGATATGACAGAACTGACAGTGCATCAGAAAGCTCCATTTGTGCCCATAATTTTCAGGTAATAATTGTAACAGTGCCATTTGTTCCACTACAGTTGGTCTTCTGTGGATGTTTTTAAAAGCAGCACTAAATAATGAGCACATTTCCTCATTTAAGCCAAATATTTGAGCATGGTCATTTTTATGCTACACATTTTCACAGGAGTTACTATCTCTCTATGCTACTATCTCTCTCTCAACAAGTAATTTTCTTGCTTTCACCCTAGTAAATATCTCACTGTATTTCAGTGGGAAGTTTGTCAAAGTTAATATTGTTTAAATGGGATCACATTTTTATATACTCCCCAGCTAAACAGAGAAAGTGCCCATATTTAGCAATCTTTAAAACAAAAAAATGGTGATTTTTATTTCCTGTAATTCTTACTTAATAATTTGTAAACCTAGTAATTAATATTAATAGTGCAGTGAATTCTTACTTTAGCTGCTGTGACATAGAACCTTGTTTTATACATTACCATGTACTATTATGGATATAACTGGGAAGTGAGCATTAATTTATACTGAATTAATTTCCATTTCAAAAGTACTTGTACTTGATCAGAGCACTTTTTAAAAGTGCCAATATTTTTAAATCAGAAATTGAGAAATAATTACACTGGCCGACATTACATGAAATAATTATCAATCCTCCAGTTTTCAAGGCGGTGGCAGAAACATGTTCAGGGACTAATCTTTTAGCATGACCTGTTGTGACAGGACATGGGTTAATGTCTTAAACTAACAGAGGGTAGATTTAGACCAGGTATGGTGAATAAATGTTGTACAGTGAGTGTGTGAAACACAGGAACACGATGCCTAGAGGGGTGGTTCATGTTCCATACCTGGGAACAGAGCACTGAGCAACCTGATCTAGCTGAAGATGTCCCAGCACACTGAATGGGGTTTGGACTAGATGAGCTTTAAAGGTCCCTTCCAACCCAAATTATTCTATGATTCTGTGAAATAAGACACACAAGTATCTAACTTGTTTGTAACTGCAGAAAAGCCAGGTATTTGCAGAACTTTTTCCATCACCTAATAACTGCGGATACTTGCTCAAGACTTAAAAAGTGCCCATGGGGCCAAATGAGATCCACAGGGCGTAATATTACAATGACAAAGCCTAAACTAATGTAAATTGTTGTTATACTGCTGAGGTCTCAGCTTATGCTAACTCTTGATTCACATCATTAACTTCACACATCATAAGTAATTTGAATCACTGAACACAGTGGCTACCTCCAGACTTGCTTTCAGCCATAAATCCCTGATCAGAAACTCACACAAAGTTTGTACTGCTGCACAGAGGCCTGTGCCATGCACACTTATTTAGCAAGCCAGGACCACAAAAAAGGATATCATTCAAGACCATGCTAACTAGTCTAGGTTTTACCCAAGAACTCTCCTAGCTACTGTATGGACACAGTAGGTACGTTTTGAGGAAAGGCACGTTCAACTACAGGCCCTTACCAGTAAGCCTTGCAATGACAAAACTGGCACCAAAGTGGCCAAAAGATGCTTCCTGTGAGAGTGCCCAGAGCACCTGGAGCAATGGCTAGCCACTCACACAGGATGCCTCATCTGAGAACAGCTGGGTCACTGTACTCCTGCTCCTGGCATAAGAGAAGCCAAGGACAAGGCCAACAGACCTGCACATTACCAGGGCTGTGAGCAGGAAACACATCACAGTTTAGCTGCACACAACTTCTAATGCAAATACAGGACACAATACTGTGCACAAAGAAAAAAAAAAGAAGAAGGAGAAGGAAAAAAAGCCTTTTACAGGCATAGAAGTACAATCAATTGTCGTTTATACAAACCAAGGAGAAAAGAGACAGAGACCTTTTGGAAATCAGAAACAATATTGAAAATATGCTGGCAAGAAATCATTTTCAGATAAAAAATACATAAACCCATTCGTATTCCTCTTAGTAGTTTGCTTATAATACACAAGACAGCATGCAAAATAAGGAACAATTATATTTAAAAGAACGAACAACTGAAAGTTTGAACTTACATATGACGTAATAATCTTTGTTCTTCTGAAATTCCAGGCCCCAGAGATTAGGACTGAACTCTTGAAACTTGATGGTAAACTTAACATCTTGATCTGGCTTGGCACAGTTAAGTAGAGGTGTATTGTCCTTTTTAATAGCACAGCTATCTGCTTGGTCTTTATCAACCATGTAGACCTTATAATATTCATATTGGCCAATAGTTTTAGAGTCCACCTTTGGGCATATAATATCCAGTTTGTCTCCAATTTGTGGATATAGTACCAATCCTTGTCCAGGAAGGAATCTAAAAGGAAGGAAAGAAAAAGGGGGAATGGGGGAAGAGAAGAAGAGATAAAATTTGAGATATTTAATAAAATTGCAAGCAGAAAAGTAGCAACTGCATGAATAGACAGGAATAAACAGTTTCCAAAACCAAAATGACAGACTGAGCAAACCAAATCTTAATAGTTTGGGCTTGATTCAATATCAACAAGATGTTTATTTAGATCTTGGAAATTACAGATGGATTGAGTCTTTTAGTCCGTATCCCAGTTTTGGGCACACTGGCAGATTTTAAATCTCTCTCTGGCACGCACTGCTGTTTTTTGCACTGCATTTAGCCATGCAGAGCGGCTAACACAATACCTGATGAGCCATGATTCTGTTTTGCTAGTATTTCTACTATTCTTGCACATATTTTGCTAATTTTGAATGTGGGAGAGTGACAAAAATAATCTTTCAACCCCCCTTGAGCAGCCATGTGGGACAGGAAAAAAATATAAGACTAACAATATATCAACATGCTGATAAACATTGTTATATTACTAGTGTAACACAAAGGAACATCAGACCAGACACTCAACCAGGACCATGTTTACAGATCTCTGCAAAGGACAGAGATCCTGATCCATGGACCACACATGCTTCTAGGAAAAACACTTATATCTAGGACAGTGCGACCATTCCATTACAATGATTTCTCTTCACAAATTCCACTATTACTGTCATTATTTTAGCTCTTTTTTGATTTTTTTTGTGCTAGTAGGTAAAGACAGGTGTGCTTTTTTTCTTATTATGGGAAGACTTCTTACACAAACTGGCAGGGAGCTTTAATATTTGCAGTTAGACACAGTATTTTGTCTTTCCTACTCATATTAATTAACAGGCAAACATGACCACTTCTTCATGGAAGAAAAATACAAATAATTACTTATAGTATTGATTCATGCACTAAATAAGGAGTCGTGTTCTCACAAGGACAAAAGCCACAGCAGGTTTGTTTGTTTCTCTCTCCATTAAGACATATTTGTTTCAATTAAGGCCAAGAAGTGCATGTTTTAGAACAACAGCCAGAAACACAACCAATGTACTCGAATGCACAGACCTAAAAGACTTTCTTTCCTCTTTTTCCTGCCTGCCAGCATTTTCCAAAGATCTTCCTTAATGGAGAATCGGCCTGAAAAACCAAGTGAAACAATTCCTGTCTAATGAACACCCTTCTCCAAGTGCTAATATTTAAACAGCACACGTAGTAAATCTAGCTTATTCACAGGCAGCCTTCCTGGAAACTTTAAATTAGAGTATCAAGGCCCACGCAGAACAAAGCTGTAGGCGTCGGTGACCTCCAACCTCTGGCTTGGCAAAAGGAGCCACCAGCATGAAGTACTGGTGGGGGAGAACCCACTAAATTAAAGCATGATGCAATGCCCCAAATTTCCAATCCATCATTTACAACTGCTTGCTCCACACAATTCAAGTTTATGATCTGTGCTAATTGAAGCAGGATTATTTTCACTCACAAAGCCAGTGTAAGAATTATATTTGTTATGAAGCAGCACGTAGCAGGACAAAGACGCGTAATTACAGATTTGGGGAACTAGAACAATGAAATGTTATGGCAAGAAAAGCGACTGCTGATGTATAAATCACTGCGCTCTTTTGTGCTGTGCAGTGTAATTTCCAGACTGCAGAAACTGGGCTTGGCCACGGCTGTTCAAACCGAGATTGAAGTGGAGACAGGGCAAAGCTGCGCCTCCTCCTCCAGTTTTCAGACATGCCAAAGGAATGCAGCGACTACCGCCTCCAGAAAGCTGAAATGGTCAAACAAATGGGAAGGTGGGAATGCATCCTCAGAGCTACCAGCCTGCTGAAGGACAACCACAAGTGTGTGTAGATGTGGCACCTAGGGATGTGGTTTAGTGGTGAACACAGCAGTGCTGGGTTAGCAGCTCAGCTTGATGGTCTTACAAGCCTATTCCAACCTGAACAATTCTATGATCCTATGACTGAGGAGGATCCCAGCCAGCAAATTCCCAAGGGAGTGGCATGTACTCTGATTTTGGCTCTCCTCAGGGATCAACTCTCTGACCAGACAAAAGCAAAGGGACAGAGTTTCCAAGCCGACCTGCGTCACCCGTGGCTGACTTTACCACCTTGTTTGACCACAGCCCCATTTTAGCTTTGCTCCTGTGCAGCACTGCTGTATCAGGAAGATGGCAATCACTCATATTCCCCCATCTGCATGCCAGGACAAAGGCTGGTCACTGTATGATCCCACTGCTGCAAATACTTCTTGCCAGCAATTCTTCTTCACATAACAGAACTGTGTAATAGGAAATGTGAGATTTCAAAGGATTGAATCTTTGCTTGTAAGTTAATCAAGTTAGATTCCCATACATAAAAAATATGAAATTCTTAAGGTTAGATAAATGTACCTGTCCATCATTATCAATAATATAACCTAAAATCTGCCCTAAGAACCGAAAGACACTGATGCTAATTTTAGACTTTGTGTGTATACGTGTAGCAGCCACAGTGTATGTTCTCCCTGCAAACTCTGGGCACAAACAGGATGGGTTGAGAGATGGTATGCCAGGCAATCCTCAGAAACATCTGCAGGAAAGAGGGCACACTTGTGAGCCTTAGTTTCAGCCAGGAATTGTCCCATAAAAGGTAGAGGACAGAACTGTCCCCAACAGAGAGTTAAAACTACATTTTACAAGAGCTTTAAATGAATGCACTTGTTAGACTTTATGGCAGGGAATATTCTTGCTATGACTCTGAAGTCTGTACAGTTTTAGAACTAAACTCAGTAAATCTCCTTCTACTTGAGTGTCTGAACTTGTAGGATCTAACGCTGATGGGATTAGGGAAGAAAAAAGGCTTAAAACGCAAGGATTAATCTGAGAATTTGATTGTATTGAAATTTTTCCACACTTTGCAGTTTTGATCATGACCTTTGCTAGGAGAGATATTTTTCCAATTTACTTTCCTTATTTTCTTACAACAACAAAGCCCAAATATGGATGGAGTCAATAAAAAAGTTTCACCTCATGCATTTCAGTTCAACCACAAAACTTACAGTGGCTGATTAGTCGTAGGCATGATTATTATCCCTGCATTTGTGTAGTACTTTTGCTACTGTACTTTTTATAAAGACTTTAAATCATTTGCTGGGTACTAAGCATTTTCTGAAGCTATTTATGAAATGTCAGGAGGATTAAGACTACTGTTTTATGATCCTATTTTTGAAGACCTTCTATGGGAAAAAAAAAGAAAAAAAGAAAAAAGAAAGGACAATGTATATTCAGCCTTGGTGAAGGTTAAAAAGCATCAGGATTAATCCTGAGTCTTCATTTCTTCAACATCAGCAAGTGTTGATGTTGTCTTAAGTATTCCCAAGTAGCATCAAGACTGATGAAATGTTTGCAGGATGGTGTCTATAAAAATTAAGTTAACAAAATGGCCTTAAAAGTCTGATCAAAATGTGCCTTCAACTAATTAGAAAGCTTTTTTTTTCCTCCACGTCAAAACAGAGCTATAATAAAGATGAAGCAAGGTGTTTCCAGAATCCTGGAACTGATCCTGTAGAGGCTGTTATTTCAATGACGGCTTGGGACAGTGACATGCTCTCCAAGCAGTCAGGACAGTGCCAGCACTGGAACCACTGCTTTCTATAAAAAGCTTCTAACTTTCTGCATTACAGCTCTAAGTATGATTTACTGCAGAACTTAAATACCAACACAGGCCCCTGGACCCCAACAAAAACTTAAGAGAAAAGCTTAGCAAGCTTCCCAACTCATTTCTGTCAGCAGTCAGATACAGAGAGACTCTTGGAGCATTTGAAAAATCCTGCTCACAATAAATAATCCTGGTGCCTGCTGTGAGAAAGCACAGAAAAGTATATTAAGTACCATATAAGCTGTATGATGAAATTCATGCACTTTCTGTCTGGCACTTTTCGATACAGATGGCATTTTTACTGTCAGCCCTAAACTGGTGCATTGTGGGCGACATTTGACATCTGTGCAAAAGCCCATGGATGTGAATGCCTCCCACATGTCCAACTAGTCATGCAGCTCATCAAATAACAACACCTTGCAGAGTTCCCAAACCTTTTCTAAAGTAATTATTGCACTTGACCAAAAAGTCACAGCGACACAAAAAGAAATTGGGAACAGAGTGGTTCATTCTCTGCTCACACCAACACTTCAATGATTTTATCTACCACACTTGAGTCTCAGCAGCAGTTTCTGGCAATAATGCAACCTTACTTGTCAAAGTCTTCAAGGAGTTAAATTTGATTGTGAAATTTTATATATATTTTTTAAAAAGTATATTAGTTTCTAAAGAATTTCTTAAGAATTGACTTATTGTTTAGAGAAACTTAGCACATTCAACCATATTATTTACAAAGGAATTTTGCTTAATGATAACCACTCAGACTTGCCTAACCTCATAATAGGAAACTCTCTCTCAAAAAAAAGTAGAACTTAACCTGCCCACACTCATTCATTGAGAATATTCTATCATTTCTTAGTATAAGAAAATTTCAGAAAACTCTGAAATTGTAAAATTACCTGCAGAAAAAATTCTTAGAGAAATAAATTCTTAAGAGATTTTGTTAATCAGTATAGAGTGATGTAACCCTATATTTTGTCAGGGTTTTTCCAACTTGTGAAACTAGACACATACATATATGTACATATACTATAAATATATATGCACACTTAGCTTTAACTATATTCTAGTAATTATAAAATAAATATGATTTCGGAAAGCATGTTAGTACTTGATGCAAGGCTTGTATATTTAACTGGAGAGGCAGTGCCAAATTTCTGTGCTTTAATAACTTACCCGAACTAATTGGTGTAGGCAGTTAGCTTTAAATTAATGTCACAAAAATAATCCTAAAAATGTGAACAATCAAGACGCTTCTTAAAATGCAGCCTGAAACCTACTGTTGGGGAATCCTACCCACTTAACTTTATGAAGTTTTAACTACGCGCCTGACTCTAAAGTTAT